TCTAAAACAAGACAAAAATAATAAGTTAGCACTCTTGTCAAACTGCGAAGGATATAAATCTCAAATAAAAAAAATCTTCAATATATTCTTGTATCATTAAAAATAACTAAATAGTCACTCAAAGATGATATAATATTAAACTAGAATGGCTATTGCCAAAAATAAGAAGATTAGAAAGTCTTGAAACAAGATTGAGGATTAAAAAGGCATTGACAAGAATAAAAAAGGCTTCATTCTTGCATCTATGTATACTCTTAACTAAGAGCTACGTCACAATATCCTATAGGACCTCTAAAACGTGTTGACTTTGTAAGACATATATCTTAACTTCCAAGGCAAGGTTACTATATATGCACCACATAGTTAGCTTGTTTCATAAGCTATCAACACGTGGTTAACTTATTGATGAAGTTTCTAACCTACCAATCAACTACAAATATATATAAAGTCAAAACAACATCTATGAAGCTTCTAGGAAGCTTCTTTACAAGATATTATGAAAATAACCTACTTTTATTTACTTGAATCTACTTCTATGTAATCATATAGGTATTTATTAGAGTACATATGTATATCTATGTAATCCAAGTAATGTAACATTTAGATTTTTATATCCAAATAAATGTATCATTCAAAATATGCAATTGTCTTGAAGATAAAATTTTGTACCAAAACCTTTAAGAATCTAAAACTCTAGTTATTATGCTCAAATAAAAATGACTTCAATAAATATATGAATGCCATCATATAAATTTATCTTTTCAAAAAAATCTCTCAAATCTTATTAAACAAAAAAATGTTATGCAAGAATAGATATAATATCTAACATGTATAATTGTGCCAAAAAAATTTATCTTTATTTATATTTATATATATTAAATAACTATGATTGTGAGGTCTATTGCCAAATGAATGTGACATATAAGATGTGTGAGGTTACAAGATGTGCACCTTTAGAAAAAGATAACATTGTGGTGATTTCTCCAAATTCCTGGAAATTCTTGAGAATACAACAGACATCTTACAACTCCAATGCAGATCACATGGAAAGGAGAAAGGCTCAACAGAAAGCCAGATACTCCATTTGGAGACCAATGGAACAGAGACACGTCTTTGCACAACATACACCTTACACAAGAATGGAAGACTTCGAGGCATGTGATGGACGTGGATGAGATTTCCTTCAGGCTCCAAGAAATTGGAGCAAATAAAATTATGGGATATTATTCACAAATGGATGAGGTCATACACGTTTTTTCTTTGATCTTTGTCATTCTGTGAGATGTTATGCAACTTCGAGAGAAGCTTTTCATCCTTTGAAGGAACCATGCCAAGTCTCCACTTTTGCATGTGCTATGCGACCAACAGCTTTTGAGGAGACGATAAGTTGTGGCATTGACTGGACTTGGGCTTCAGGATAGGTTCCCGGCAACGATCACAAGTCAGGTAGGAAATCCCAACACGCTTGGGTACGCTCATTCCTGGAGTTGCCATGCTGCAGCGCACGAGATGAGCGCATGATCTTTAGCATCCGTGACAACATCCGTGATGACAGGCATGAGTTTTTGTCTCTCCTAGTCTGGACATCTCTACTCTGAAAAATCGTATCCTCACTTTCTTAGGCGGTGTTTCAGAGATGTTCAGTTCTTTCGAATCTCACCGTTCAACAATATGTTTCAGGTGGCAATTCGAACATTCCATTGCAACTTATTCAAGCAACTTTGCCCCGTAACTTCTATGTGCCCATCAAGATTTTCACGCCCAAAAAAGTGGAACACATGCTCCGAAACGAGACATTGCGAAGCTACGGATCGTTTTGCACTAACGACGTGGTCAACAGTTTCTGAGGTGATGGCGATTTCGCGCAGTGTAATTTCGAGCTCGAGAACAGGTTATCGGTAGGGGTGACAACAGGGATGACGTCAGGGCGGTTTTGTTACACGTGTTAGTTTGAGATGATGCGGATCATCGAGGTTGCCACACTATTTACACCCATTCCGCATCCCAAATTTCTAGCAGCATTACCAGGCAATTCATGTGCGGAGCCCACCGATATTGCTACAAAGTACACTTTGGCCAGCCGAATATGTGTACAGTACAAGTTGCGCCACCAGCTACTACATAATCCTGAACAACGTTTCACAAGTTCACAGCTCCCTCTCCAGGGCCAACGTGCTTGATGAAGTTTTGCGACGGCAGAAGCGGCAACAGCACTTGAGCTATTGGCCACTTCGTATACTTCCGCATACTTCCGCATACTTCACCCTGTGCGATTCAGTGCTCCGGTCAGTATTGTTTCAAAGATTTGCTGCTAGGTCGCCCATCTCTCACTCCCCAGATCATCTCCCCACAAGGACCAATCATTGTTCAGCCCATCTGAACCGAAGCAGTCCACGCTGACCGCGTCCGAACTCGCAAATCATTGCAGACCGACCTTTGAGGAGTGAGAACCACCACAGACTCGTTCTGTCATGCATACTGCTGAGTTTCTACATCTTGGCCTCACCAATTCACTGTGTAAAGCAAGGAGATCAGAATTATACTAACCTTTCGACTAATAGAACCGATACTACAGATGTCCAGACCACCCTCGGAGTCGCTTCCAGCAACCTGAGTTCCCTGTTGCTGAGTGTGGACTACAACGGTAGATGCTCCAATTCATCATCTCACAATGCTATCATGCGGTTATCATACGGTGTGCTCGAACCCAACGACATTGTGGAGCAGCAACACAAGTGCGTTGGGCTCCGTAGCGTGGGAATTACTGGACTCCGATATCGAGAACCTGGGAAACTTGGTGCTATACAATGCCAACAACGAGATTGTGTGGAGAAACATTGCCAACAACCCTGAGTTGGAGAGCTACCAGTGCGCGACAATCGACTGTGCACCATAGCTATCCTCAGAACCAGCTGGAAGTGAACTTGTTCAGCAACTGTAAGTGTAGCACGTATGGATGGGCAACCCAGAACCTGAAAGCCCGCCTCATCCTCTGATGCAGTCATAAGCATGAAAAGAGTAGTGGACTTGATCCCCACCCTCACAGCCCCAGCCCTTATCATATATTTCAGCCTCGAAATTGTAGGTAACTAGTGTGGTTCCAAGACCTGGCGATGGCTTGCTCTGCGCAGCGAGTCTTCACCTCGATCTTAGGACTCGGATGTTGTAATATGCTTCCTTCGGTGCCTTTGCTTTGATTGAGAACACTACGAAAGTTGAACCCTGATCAGCACATAGACAGACAATAACACGGCTCCATGTTGGTCCTCTCGTGCAATCTTTAGCTCTTCTAAAATCTATTTGTGTTTCAGTTTTTTTTATTAAACAACTATTATAAAAGATCTCTTGTATTATCTTCAACAATAATGCGATGAAATTTAGGATTTGTTTAATTGTAATAACTATTTGTAATGTTAGTTTTTATTTTATTCCCAAACACATTAAAAGACACATATTGTAAATAAATTCTAATTAATGATTAAAATATTTAAAAATGAGTGCTAAGTATATATATATATATATATATATTTGTATGTATGTTTATTTTTGCAAAATTTGTTAAATAAAGCATTTAAATTGTCTCAACTTGAAGAATGTTATAATTGTGATGAAGATCCTCAAAAGAGACATGTTCTTCTTTGAATAGATGGCAAGATACAACATGTTTCATACTTCAATCTTTGAAGAGATTTTTGTTGCTTGATGATATTGTTGGAGGTGGATACTACACAAGATAGAATACAAAATATGTTATTTGAAGAGAGTTATAAAGCCTCAAAAATAATTAAATAACTACATTATCTTCTTACTCTAATGTAAAATATTTGTCATAGTTAAAAGAAACAATTAATTATAATTGTGCAAAAAATAAATCATAGTTTGTTGCCAATATAATTGAGGGATCTTAGATTTCATCAACTTATAAAAAAAATTAACAACTCATTATGGAACTTGTTACTTAAAAGGGGAGTAATATCACAATCATCTATAATTATCAGTACATTTAAATAAATAAGTAGAAATAAATAGACTTAAGCAAAAATAAGTTAACATCTTCTTTGAAAACTTTTTAGAGGCTTTGTAAATACAAATTTTATTTTACATGAATTTATATGTGGTTGGTAGGTTGAAAACTTAGCCAACAAGTTGGCCACTTGTTATACTCATTATCTATTTATATTATAAGTTGGCCATCTGATGCACATATTAGTAATTTATTCTAAAAATTAGATATGTGATTTGTAAATTGGATATGTATCATGTGGCCTATAGGAGGTCATTATATAATTCTCTAATTAGATAGTATAAATAGAGGTAAAAAAAAATAAAAGTCTTCTTTACTTTTATCAATGACTTTTTGCTTTTAGTTTAGTTTTAAGAATCTTTGATTTTCTTGTCTTTGGCAATAGTTGTTTAGTTTATTTTAAAATGTACATTTTTTTTTTTTTTTTTTTTTTTTTTTTTTTTGCCAATGCTTTTAGAGGTATATCTTGTTTATTTGTTTACATTCTTTGAGTTCTTATTTCTTGAAAATTTATACCCAATACTTTTAATAATTATATTTTAAATTGATCAAAATTATTTTAAATTATTATTTTCAGTTTAAAATATAAAAAATGCACACCATCTATTTTCTAAAGATCACAATTATAATTTTATACAATCATACAATATATCAGAAGAAAATAAAAAATATAATCTCAATATTATAATTTATTGTTGTATCAATCTTAAAATTATTTTTATATTAGTGTGTCAAGCATTGTATATCTACTATTTTTTTATTTTTTTATTTATTTTTTTATTAAATCTGTGATCTGATATTGTAACTAGTAAAATCAAATTTCAAATCTTTAAAATTCTTATAAAAATATTAAATAAATGTTATAGAATCATCTTATAAAAAATGGATTTTAATTCTAAATCTAAAATAATATATAATATATATATATAAAGTGCAATTTTTTTCTCAATCTGTAAGAATGCCACTTAAATCAAGTTTGTCAAACCAAGTTTTCCAAAGTAAAATGAAAATTATAAGTATTACATTACAAATTATAATATGGTATCAGTCACAGTGTTTCGTCATCCAGATTAGGTTGTTCGTTTGCAGGGATTAGTGAATAATCACCTTCATTTCCAGACGTGGATTAAGGCTTTCATTTTTACACGTTATCGAATTGGAAATTGCGGCGTCTGTTGTGATTCTAGGTGCTTCAGCTGCTGGTTTAGAGATCATTCCTGCAACGACAGGTTTCGGGACTCGAAACAGTTGTGCTTATTCATTGCTCACCATGGCAGAATCCTTTCTCGTGGCAAAAGAACTGCATGCAATGGTATCAGTGTCAACCTTCGGAGGCTCACGCTTGTATTCAACTCGGAAAGATACAGTGGTGTTCGGTTGCTCAAGATAGGAAAACATGTCAATGACAATAGTGCTCTGGTTTGGATGATCACCTTGTGTCACCGATACACAGATCCTGTGCACCCTTCAGAAGATGTGAGGCCTGAGCATTCAGGAAGCTCCGCATAAGACGCGGTCCAGCTGCAGATGCAAAGAGATATCATGCACAAGCCTTACCACATCTCCCAGTCATTGGGTGCACATCATTCGAATCCCATTGCAGATATGTCCTGCTTAATATTCCTTCCACATTGCAGATGAGTCGCTAGGATTTGCAGACGAACTGCTGCCTTGGCAGTCACGAAGGAGATCATCGACGGTTGGATCTGGTATCCTATATTTAGTTCAAACCCGTGTAGATCCAACCTCAATGAAACGTTGACTCGCCTTGGAGGTGTTCATGGATCTGGCGAATTGTCACGACGTTTTAGGGCATGGCGACTTCGATGATGATGGCCACTGTCTTCACGCTTCTCAAGTTAGAGTTGCATGCAACAAAGAAATGCACGGTCGGCAAATTCTGTTCTCTAATCTGAGCGACCAAATCGAAGTAATATTTTCCAGTTCAATTTAGCGAGGAAGATTGAGTACTGAATCCGTGATTCTTATTCTGTGACCTCCTCAGATGCTTTCGACATTAGCGTATGGGCAATGGAAGTCATCGAACTCATACTGGACAGAGCAGTTTGGCAGCCGCCTAAATTCTCAACCCTCGACCGATACCTTCATCATCAATATGAAACCCTTAATTCCGGATGGACCGATTTCGACGAAGATGGAAAACCACGTGCAGATGCTCCCTGGCTAGAGGAGGATCGTATCTCCAGAAATCCCAATCCAAAGCCCACGTTCAACCAAGTCGAAGGAACGGTAGTAACGAGGAGTCATTAGAACTGAATGCTAACACTCACAACTCGTGGCTAAGTTAAGGTCGAGATCTAATCTCATTGTTGTTACATTGACAGATCACCGCGGCTAAGAAGAAGCAGTCCAGGGGCTGGAGGAGCACGAAAACGTCTTCGAACAGAGAGCGAAATCTCTACATCGAGACCAATTCTATGATCAGCAGTATGCAGAAACAGCGCCGAGACCATGGAAGAACCCTCCCTGTCTTCCGCGACGAGCGGTTCGGGAAGCTTCCACTCTTTATGGATGTGGTGCCGCGCTTGAAAAGCCACTTCTATCCGATGGTTGTGAGGGACGATGTCTCCAAGCAAGAAATGCACATAAACTTCAATGTGGAGATACAAGACTTCACGACCCTCTCCGAGTTCTTAAAACATAAACATCGTAAACGTCTGGCTGATTTTAATAAACTGCCGAAACAGATTTGCAACTAACCTCCCTGCTCACCGTCCACACTCAGACAGATCTACATCTAGTACTCCTTGTTATTCCAACACCGAATGTGAGCAGGTACTTTCTAAGTTCCAACCAACATGAGAGCGTTCGACATCACAAGTCTGATTATCTACCATGAGGAGCTGTCAATCATCTTACAAATCCCCAATTTAATCTAAACATTTAGAAGAGTTTCGAGAACGGAAAGCATGAAACACGAGGTCAAAACCCAGAGCACAACACAGTCTGTGAACAGGATTTGGTGCTCCATGTGATGACTTCTCAGCAACCGAAGTTGACGCAGACAGAGCTACTGCAGACACAAGATTTGGTTTCTCACCATTCACGAGTCAATAACGCCCCGACAGCTGCAAAAGCAGCTTGGTCTGAACGCCTGTAGTGGAAGCATGGACAGTGTTTGCTAAAAGGTTTTGGGATTCTTCACTCCAGAATGGCAACAGTCGATCGTTTCACAGCTGCATTCGGGCGGAGTCCAGGTGCTTCCATATCTCATGTGAACAAGAGTGTGTCGATCCCAATCACACTGAAAAAAATTTGTGCATGGTTAGTAAACTTGCAGTTTGGCGATGGGGGCATGCAAAGCTTCGGCTGTGAGACTTTGGAAGTTCTCTTCATCATGGAAGTCTCATTGTGGTCTATATATTAATATGGGTATATGTGTGTATGTATGTATACGTGAGGTTTTATTTATGTTTTATTAGGCTCTGAACTGACTAATCTGATCATTTTGTGTCTTGGCTGCATTTGGTGGTGTCACAGCCTTCTAATTTATCATCCAACATGATGCTGGAAACTCTCTTGGTTATTTTTTGTTTAAATAGTGATTGCAAGGCAACGAGAATGCGAACCCTAACAGTTCAATTGTAACAATTGAACCCAAACACATAGCAGAGATATTGTAAACAAAAAAAATAAAAATAAATGTCAAATTAAATAGCAGAAATATCTTAGCAGAGATAAATAAATTGTAATAATTCAAAATTTGATTCTTCCCTTGAAGAATTCAATTTTAAGTTTTATATATACCAATCTAAAGAAACAGAAGAAAACTATAGTTTTATTTTGGAGTCAAGAAAGCAAATTAAAAAATATGTCAAATTAACATACATAACTAAACTTAAAAAGTTAAATAATGAAAATACATAAAAGAAAAATATGCATAAAAATACAAAATTTTTGTTACATACATGTAACAAAATGGTATAAGCTCATAAAAATGCAAGATAAAAACTATCAAAAATTAATGCACAAGTGTAATATATACCTACATTATTTAAATAAATAGATGTACATAAACATAAAATAAATTATATAGACATAAAAAAATAATACAGTGATACTAAAAAAAATATATAGTGCCAGCTTTGTAAAATGTCAACTTCATATAATTGGAAATATATATATATATATATATATATATATATAAATTTTAGAATATCAACAAAAAAAATTATTATAATAATAAAAAAAAACTAAAGAAATATGCCAAGTGGGTGGTGGTGGCATCAGCAACACCCTAAACATTATAATTGATCAACCTTGTGTGAAGTGAGAGTTTTAAAAAAATGTTAAATTGCTTGAATACCTGAAAGCTGCAAGATAAATTTAACCTGTAAGAAAGTTTAATGACGTGAAGGTAATTTATTTAATTTCTACTCCCAATTCTACTGGAATATTAAAACCTATTGTCCATGTTTAAACAACTATTTGAAAGTTTTATATTTTTGTGGAGAGAATAATCAATAATTGTAAGGAGTTTCAACATCTTAATTTTTCTACTAATCAAGTTTCTTTGATTGAATTTTGTATAAGTATAATATCTCTGAAAACATGAATCTTAGAAGGACATACCCTACATACAGATGGTGGCTGAAGAAGGTTGAAATTCTAAGCACATAGAACAAGACTTCATGATTGTGAGAAAATATATTTGTTCACCAGAGAATCTTTGAAACATTAGTAATTTTATTGTATATTATTGTGTATATCTTTAAACTTCAAATATTTTACAGTTTCTAATCTAAAGAGGAGGAAATAAGTAAATTATTGAATTCAAAAAACATAATGGGCACTAAGGTTTAATTCTAATGGTGGAATATCTTTCTTGTTTTTTTAAATGCAAAAGGAGTATAAATTGTTTCAAAATTAAAATAAATTGCAATTAATTTTCTAAATTAAATTCATTTGATCAAAAATTGTAATTCCAAATACATTGTACATAACAACTTTACCAAAAATTTATATACTTTTTAAATAACTTTTTGAGTGTTATTTGTTAAGTATTCTTAACTTTGAATATGCTATTTAAAAGGTTAAAATTATGAAGATTAAAAATAATTTCATCAAATTTATAAAAAATTACACATTGAAAAAATAATGCATTGGTTGATATTTCATTTTACTTCACTTTGGTTACTTGATCAACGTTGAAAAGTAAATTTTAATAAAAAATAATATTTACAAATATATATATCTATATATATATATATATATATATATATATTCATTTTTATTAAATATTCAGGTGTATGATGTACAACATCAACGATATGTAACTGATTTAGATGGACGTAGCAAATAAAAACTTTTTTTTATTCTTGTAAAATACATTAACAATGTCTTGTACTAGTTATTCTATCTAGTGAGTAAAATATTAACATAATTAATTAAGAGGCGAGTTTTCTTCTCTTTAAAATTACATGCATACACACACACACACATCTATATCTATCTATCTATCTATCTATCTATCTATCTGTGTGTAATTATATCAAAACATGGGGTAAAAAGATGTTCTTAGGGCCACAACTTTACCAATACGATTGTAATTGCACTTGACTTCAATATGTTCCATGGATAAAATGGAATGTGATTTCACCAAAATATCAAAAAATAAATAATTTGGGTTTTTTCTCAGTGAAATTCTTGTATGTGAAAATGATAGAATGTGAATATAAATAAATAAAAAATGAAATAATTTTTCATATATATATATATATATATATATATTTATATACACACATACAAATACATAACTTCAAACATAATGTGAAAAACTTCTTTGCTAAAATCTTCATATAGTAACTTGTCAATATTCCAAAGGTGTAAGAATCACGAAATTAAATATCTTACAGTAGACATACATATAAATATTTATATACACATAAACACATATGCATGTGGGCATATACATATGTATATATCTATGTACATAAGGAGCTAGATAGAAAGAAATTGAAAGGAAAAAATAGTGGTGGCGATGCAAAAGAGTTCCCAACGGTTGGTTCTGGAACCTCCTAGACGGGAATGACCGAGAACCAGAGAACCCATGGGGAACGAAAGACGGCGAATCCTTCCAGAACATTCTTCTCGAATCAATCCATCTTCGATTCACGCACATATCAGGAAAACTTTATCACATCTAGGTAAAATTGGATTCTATTGCCTGGTTTCTCGAGACCAGGCGCTGTGTCGTCGTCGTCGTCATCGTCGCTGTGGCGATCGGGCTCAGGAAAATATGCGTCGCAGATATTTCTTCGGGTCACGTAGCTCATTCTGTGCGCGAGTTTCACAGCGATATTTGTTCGTGCAGTCTTAGGAAGTTTCGTTCTCCAGGATAGGCGTGTTTCGGACGTGAATGAGACACTGGGGTTCGAGGATTGCTGCCCTTCTGTGCCTGGGTTGCGTTGTGTGTGGTTTGGTATCTGGGTTGTAGTTCAGTCAGCGGCACTGCGTGTCGAAGTGTCGCACCTGAAACGGGCGCTTGTGGCACTCACACGGATCCGGAGCGTCGAATCCCTCATACTTTCATTTGTTAGTGCCGAGATGTAATGTGTGAGTCATCTCTCGCGAAGGGCTTTTACTAATTTTCTCAAATTTTAATACCAATTTTTGAGAGCTCGTGGGGTAATGGTCAGTGCCGGTCTTTTTTACAATGAATTCCCGCTATTTTATTATTTTTTTCCCGATGTTCGGGGTCTTTTGCAATTTTTCTTTCACTTGGGTTTCATCTTGAAGAATCTCTAAAGTCGGAGATTGTTTTCCTCCGCCTCATATTTTCCTGACTTTTTTTTTAGTGGGAAACGACGTCGATTTCTTGTCTTTCGAAAATCTCTTCTGCACTGTCTTTGGCTTTTGAGGATCCTTTGAGAAGGGAGGAAGGGCTTGTCTATTGAACCAGAGACTTCATGCTTCGGTTCAGTTTCCGAATTGTGCCTCGAATAAGGAATTATTTCTACTAAGCGTGTGGGAGGGTTCGATAGACGGTATCAGTTTTCATAATACTGGGAATTGGGTTATAGCTCTTAGTTGCTACCTTTGACTATGACTTCGAAATTTTCAAATTCAGTTGCAGAGCTCATCTAGTGTAGAGGCGGATTGTAGCGCGATTAATTTTCGGTTCTTTGTGTCGAGAGGAATTCGCCATTGGAAGGATGTATTGATCCAGGATGGAGTAACCTCATTTATGCTTACTACAGTATTTGCTGAAATTGTCAACCTGCTGTAGTATGAGTCTGTCTATTGTCTCTTTCAACATTTGCAACGATTAATTAGGCTGAAGTTGCTTGAGAACCAGTCGTCTGAGCGCGTGATGGCGACCAGGCAACCAGCTCAAATTTTTGTAAAAAGATCGTCGGGTCAGGCTTCTCACTTACTTTTCACGGGACAATCTTTCAGTAATGTTTGTGACTGCCGCTCCGTTCAACTCTCGACATTGATTGATGTGAACATCTTATCGCATATAACTCGGGGTTAATCATCGTCCTAGGTTAGTAACTTATCATATACATAGTTTCTTGTTGCAGAAGCTGGGCCATCGTTGACACATGGTCGCCGACAATTTGCTCCTTCAGAATCATCTGTAGTCGGAGATGAAGTTGATGAGTCGGTCGTTAGGAGGAAGAAACGGGCAATCCCCCGAACTTCTGAGAGTGATGCTGATAGAGCTGGTCCTTCGGAGATTGTGCCAAGTTTTGTGGGTCAGGCTATTATCCCAACAAACATCTTTGGGGTTCTCTTCCCGAACCGAAGTTATCCTCTAGACGCCTCCAACTTTACACAAGTTGACACGCATAAATGGCTTCTGAATATGGATATCTTTGTAGGTGAGTGATTTATGGTAAAATGAATCTATTCTCGTGGACAATGCTTTCTCTTGTTCATAAACATGTAGTATGGGTGCAACCTGTCTTGACAAAATTGGAAGTACCTTGCTTGTGAACAATTTGCACTGCTCTGGGAACCTATCGATGTGTATTATCTTCTTTCGATCTGTTACTACACAGTAGTCATCTACTGATCTTACTCCACATGGGATACAGGTGAACCTTACGATAAAGTGACAGAGATCTGTATTTATCTCTTCCACGAAGAGTCCATCCCACCCGATAAAGCAGTAGCAGTTTACGTTCAATCTCCTGGCTCTAGTTTTCAATTTCGAGGTGGTGTGACCAGGGCCTGTCCTTCTTCAGTGCTTTCACTGCTGTGGCCAACAACTTCAAGTCAGATGAATCTGATAGGTTCTACTTCTCGACCGGTAACCGCTAAAATTGGGGTGTCCATTGAGGATGCAGCTACCCTCCCGGCTTTAAACGTCGGTCGGCACAGGCAGCTTGAGCAAGTTGCCTTGAATGTCGGGCGTAATTTATTTAATTTCATGCAGTCATTTTGCCATGTCCAGGATAATCACTTAGGCGTCCCTCGTGGTATTTTCGAACAATGGTACAAGAAATTCGTGGAGCGGTCACAGAGGGATCCTGAGTACGTAAATCGCTTACTTGTGGCGTAGAACATGCTTCATTGTACAGTGTGAAGAACATTTCCTCACAAAAAATCGAAGTCCATTTGAGAGTTTCCTTTTGCAGAGCTTACTGTACAACGTGTCACTTGTCGTCCTATTACTTGTGACGAGTATGCTGGGTTAGTGTTCATTCGTCTTCCTTTTACGTGGAGATTGCGTGGCCTGTCTAAATCTGTGTATAGTCAGCACTTGTTGCACAGTGAGCCTGTAAATTATTGTGGCCACGGTCAGCTTTTGCTGCGTGCTTTCCTAACAGAATTACGTTCATTAGATTTCCCTTGCACTCGAGAATGCCTGCTGACCCTGCTGTAGCGCTACTACAGGCCGTCATCTTGACCACCCACACATCCACTCTGTGCATTTATCGTGTATCTTATTTGTACGGATGAATTGTCACGTTGGGAATGAAAACTGAAACATGGTATTCTGCACGAAAGCAGCGCTATTTTCAGCTGCTCCCTTTTTCTAATGCGGACATCTCTCGTCTTAAACTCGTCTTTTGACGAGGCTCTGGAGGTACCGACTTCTGTCTGCGCAATTGGTGTATGAAATGAGAGGTAAATTGATGATGGAACTTCAAGTCAATGCAAACCAAACCAGAAAACCAAAGCACAAAATTTGAGTTGCATGTATCCAGAATTAATTTACCGCAAAGCACGGCGATCAGAATTCCTCAGCGAACAAGAACTGGTTAAAAACAGATCAAGATGCGACTTTCTCAACACAATTCATAGATTGAAGTGCGTGCTGAAACAGAGGAAATGTGCTCAGGAAGAAATCTTGTATCTATGAACAAATTCCACATCGATTTTTTCATCCATCTTTCAAGGTAAATTTTCCTCGAAGTTTCGAAACTTTGTCAATCACATAAATCGCATGTTAAATGGATTGAAATCTGTTTGATCTCCTGTCAATGGTTCCATCCACTACACGTCTATAGAAACGGAGCTCCGATTCCAAACAATGCGACTCGGATCCTGATAACTCAACATGCCAGACACTGTGATAAAGGTGGATGATGTTGCCCAACATGCGGTGCATAAAGGAACCCACTTCGGACATGGCATTTCACCTCTTCGAATCTACTGAAAGAGGGGCCAGCCATCAGGAAAATACCTCTAAACCCAGGAGTTTCGTGGGATTGAGAGAAGTTCCATTCTACTTGATTCTCAGCTTAACTATCCACACACAAACAAGGAGCCTCTGATTGTCCAATATACTAAGAAGCTGACATAGCCTCTGGTTGATGTTTCGCACATAGAATCGGGTGCTTTCCTGCTAAAGAAAATTAAGAGTACTGAAAATTTCGCCCTAGCCCTGGATATCCCTTCGTTGTAGCAACCGCTCCGCTGTTCCAATGACGTTCAAGCAGAGCGATACAATCCTGCGTACAAGTGTACATGTACGTATGTATATTAGGAAGTATTTATATGTACGCAGATGGCAGTATAGAAAGATTCTTTTTCAAAATGGAGACTTTAATCACCCAATTTGAATGAATTAATACAAAACATGCAAGAACCAACAATGGTAGATGTGTTTTTGATGCCACAAAACTGTGGATTACTGGTGAAAATGAAAATATCATTTCAGATTATGGACATAGTGGATAAAGAATTGTTCATTATTTATCTTATATGCACTATCTCCTACAAGAGTACAAGGTATTAGAAACAAAAAAAATACATGTTGCATTTAAAATTTGATCCATTGTTTGCAAGTTTTTATATACTATTTCATTAGTTTATTTTTATTTTATTTTATTTAAGTTATTGTTGTTGTAAGTAGAGGCTTTGATTCAATTGAATTGTGAGAATTTTGGTGATATGTGTTAGAAAGTTGCATTTGCCAAGAAAACAATGACGTTAAGGATAAATATATATTTATTTATTTTTTAAAAATAAGTAGTATTTTTATCTAAATATAAATATTTGTTGTAGGATTTTTATGTAATTAAATAATTTAACTATGCATGACTTTTTTTTTCTAGATTGCATTTAGAAACTATACATTATTATAAAATGTAAATTTGTGTTAAAGGAATTTTTAGATAGTAAGAATTTTAGTTGCTACCATATTATTCTTGTGAGATTATTTTTAGGAATTAAAATTTTTGTTGAGTATAAACTTGAATTTTGGCACTTTTTGACATATAAAAATTTTAGATACTTGTGAATTTTTCTTATTTGGCTTTATTTAAAAGAACCAATTTTTTCTTGAATTTAAATATATGTTGCAATCTTACCATCATTCAACAATTTTTTCATGTTTTATTAGAATACACATAAATACCTTAAAAAACATGTATTTTAAAAAAAAGTAGGATTTAAAAAGAAATCTATTATGTACTTTTAAATGATAAATGGCATGCATTCAATAAATAATTTTTTAAATTTATTTTCTTGTAAAATTATATTTATTAATAATATTTTATATATATAATAATTTATATGAATATTTTAGTGTTATGACTTATAAATAAGAACATGCTCTTCTATTGCAATATTATAAGAGTATTTTGATAGATATTTTTGATTATATAATATATCTTATTTTTAGGACTTTTATAATTTAAATATCAATATTAATATTTTAGGTTCTTTATTAGATATAACTAATGATAGTAAAAATAAATAAAATATTAATTTTTTATTAATAAATAATTTTTTAAAATAAATATAAATATTCTACATGATAAACATTGATTAGACTCTTAAACTATCTACACCCATTTATTATACATGTAAGGTGCATTCTACATATATTATACATTTTTAAACTTATATTATTTTTATTACTTGATTTTTGGTCTAAAAGATATTTTTTAATATATTTATAAATTTCTCTAAAATATCTGAATAAAATTTTAAATAGTATTGTGTTAAGAATATGAATCACAACAAAATTTTAAATAAGAAATAATTTTTTTATGACACTCAAAAAGAAAAAGTAGAAAAATCAAAGATAGATATAAGATTGAAATTAGAATGTCTATTGCCAAATATAAAGACACTAGAGCTTCTTGAATTAAGACAAGAATCCAAGAAAAGCATTGATAAGAATGAGAAATGCCTCATTCTTGCTTCTATGAATATTATTTAACTAAGGAGCTACATGCCTACCTTTTATAGGACTTCCAATATGTCTTTAATTTGCAAGAGAAGTTTTTAACATGTGTGCCACATGACTAACTTATATGACAAGTAACCAACATGTGTAGCATATGACTAACTTGTTGACTAAATATTCAACCCACCAATCATCTATAAATACTTAAAAATTAAATCCATATCTATGAAGTTTTTATGTAAGATATTATCAAATTTACTTCTGTTTATTTCTACCTAATTCATCTTATTTTTATTAGTGTTGGTGTGGCTATGATATTATTCTTCTTTTTAGAAATAAGTTCTATAAGGAAAAATAATCACATGTTGAAAAGTCCAACATGCAACAAATTATATTAGTCACATATTTTAATCTTTTTTTTATTGAAGGTAGTTGATAAGTCTTCTCAACCATCAATAATGTTCCATATTAAAGTGGAAAGACTACCTTCTTATTTGATTATTGTTGAAGGCTTTATAACTTCAAATAAAATATTTGGAATACTATCAAGAGTGGCTTCTAATTTAAATAATACCATCAAACATTAAAAGTCTCTTCTAAGGTTAGGACCTTCTTAATTATGTTATATCTTGCCATCTATTTGAAAAAGAATATGTTGTTCTTAGAGGTCTTTATCTCTATTACAATACCTTGAAGGTTTTGATAATCTCATTGGATTCTTTGATAACTCGGTAAAAGATAGCTTTTGAATTAAATATATTTATTGTTAATTTTTCATCTTTATTGAACCTATTTTTTTTTTATAGCAAATAATTTCTTTATTCTTTATCTTGGTTTTAATAAATATTATCAATATAAAGCATCACCCTTCTTTCTTATATTTGTAAGATTCTTTAATGGTTTTCATGTACATTCATTAATATCATATATGTAACAATGTACAAGATATTTTAACCTAGTTTGGCACCACATTAAGTCCAAGAATTCTTCTACATCAAATTCTTGATTATTATCTTCTTCTATAAGAAGATGATGCATCTATCTTTTTTTTGGTACATTTATTGTCTTGTATGGTTAAAAAAAAAACACATAAAATATAATATAGCTCTTTATAGACTTTGATAGGTATAATCAATATGCTACTAGATTTATATGTTCAAAATTTAAAAACTATTTTAAATCTATTAGAATTCAATTTGTTACAAGATTATATACTTTTGATATTACAACAAAATAATCAAAGTTTATTATCTACATCAAATTAAAGTTTTTCTTTGCAATAAATATGTATATATATATATATATATATATATATATATATATTTTGATTTTATTCTAATTGTATTTTTATTATTGTATGTAGTTCTAATAAATAATTTGTCAAATCGTTTTCTATAAGATTATTAGCTTTTAAGAAATCTAAAGTATTAAGTTTTGAATGATAACCATATTTAGCATAGAAAGATGATTATTGAATAGAAGAATGTATGATGTTATTATAGATAAATTTTACCAATGGCTAAAGAATTTTTTTTATTATCTTTCTTATAATAGATAGTATATTTTAAATATTATTTTAATAATTTATTTATTATTTTTATTTCTCTATGATTTTAAAGATAAAAAACCAAAGATAGTTTTATGTCTATTTTTAATATCTTAAAAATAATCTTTTAAGATTTTAAATTTAGTCCATCTATCTAAAATAATATCTTTTTTTAATCTATGAAAATTAAAAATATTATCAAAAATAATTTAGCTATTTCTTTTTATATGATAGTTTTTATAAATAATACAAAATATTCCATCTAAATAAATCAATCAACTATTACAAATATTGAATCATAACAACTTGAGATTGAAAGATCAGCTATAAAGTATATATAAATAGATGACCATAGTTGTTTTGATAATTAATTCCAAAGATTTATTATATCAAAAATGTCATACAACTAAATAATCATGTTGATTTTGAAGAATACATAAGCAAGCTTTATTTTTTGGAATACATGAGCATCTTCTAAAATAAAAAAAAATTGGCTTAAAATTTAAACTCAGATGTATCATGAGATTTAAGAGAATTATTATTTGTATCATGCTTAAAAAAATTTGAAGATTTACCTTATGGAATTTCATAAAGAAATATTGAATCAATAATTAATATTATTTTTATTGCTTATAAATGCTATTACTATGGCTTTAG